ACGGAGGATGCGGCCAGCTCTGGGGGGTGTGGGGATGCGGACGGCTCTGGGGGGCGCGGGTTCCTCACACTCACGCGACGCTCAGCGCCAGGAAGAGCAGGGCACCCATGCACAGCACCACAGAGACGCCGGTCCGGGCGATGGCCGGGCCAGGGGCCGGGGGCCGGTACCGCAGGGAGAGCCGGGCCTGGGAGTCCACTGTGTTGGGGAGGGGGGTTAGGAGCTGACAGAGCTGAAGGCCCCTCCTGGGTACCCCCCACACCTGCTGTCTGTCCCCCCTACCCTCCCCCACCTGGGGGACTGGGGTCAGTGATATCCCCCGGGCATCAGCTCCATGCCCCTCCCTGCCCCACGGCCCTGCTGGAGCCCCCATACCCTCCCCCGACCCTGCACCCCACGGCCCCGCTGGACATCGTGCTCATCTGCCCATGGCCCCCAACCTCTCCCTGCCCCCCACCCCCTGCCCCCCAACTCCCCCCTACCAAGGCAGTGGTGCTGCTTCAGACACACGGCTTTCGCCTTCCTGCAACTGGTGCAGTCGAAGACGTCATAGTAGAGCCAGCCTGGGAAGGGGGAAAGTGTGAGGCCCCCAGCCAGCCCCCCCCCGCCCCATTCCTTGACCCCGAACCAGCCAGTTCCTCCCCCCGGGCCAGATCGGGGCCGGCGCCCCCTAGGGGGACAGGCCCCCTGCCCCATTCCCCGAGCAGCGATGGAAAGTCAACTTACCACAGGTTTTGGGGTTACAAGCTGGGGAGAGAGAGAGAAAAACCGATTGTAGCCCCAGACTGTGACTGAAGGGCCCCCCAGAACTGGGGGATTGGGGGGTTTGGAGGAAGGGGCCCAGGGCAGAGGGGCAGCCCCCCCACCCCCACCCCGGGAGCTGGTACCTTTTGCCTGATGTTCCTTCAGAGCCGATTTCAGCTCCATGGTCGTTCTGCGCCTGAAAGCGACCAGCGCGTCCAGCAGGGCCTGGTCTGGGGACAGATGGGGAAGTGACTCCGGTGGAGGGGGGAGGGCTGTGGGGCTTGGGGCTGTGGGGTGACCGTGGGGTGCAGGACTGTGGGGCGCTGATGGTGCTGTGGGGCGCTGTGGGGTGCAGGACTGTGGGGCGCTGATGGTGCTGTGGGGCGCAGGACCATGGGGCCCTGCTGGTGCTGTGGGATGCTGGGGGAGCTGTGGGGTGTGGGACTGGGGGATGCTGTGGGGTGCTGGGGGCACTGTGGGGCACAGGACTGGGGGACACTGGGGTGCTGGTGGTGCTGTGGAGTGTGGGACTGGGGGGCGCTGGTGGTGCTGTGGGGTGCTGGTGGCACTGGGGGGTGCAGGACTGGGGGGGCGCAGGGGGCGCTGGTGGCACTGGGGGTGCAGGACTGTGGGGCACTGGTGGCGCTGTGGGGTGCTGGGGGCACTGTGGGGCACAGGACTGTGGAATGCTGGGGGCACTGGGGGGCACTGGGGGTGCAGGACTGTGGGGCTGTCACCTGTTAGGGCGCTTCGTTCCAGGCCGGCTGCCGTCAGCCTCACGCGGTGGATCAGGGCGTTGATGCTGCTCAGAGCTGGGAGGGGGAGAAAACATCGGCCCCAGGTGGACTGTGGTGCCCGCCCCACATCCCGGCCCCTGCAGCACAGCGCCCCCTAGTGCTGCCCTGGGGCCAGCCCTGACTGCCAGGGCAGTGTGTGGGGGGGAGGGGGTTGGGTACAGAGGGGACAGTGGAGTGTTGGTGGATTCATACCTCATCCCTTTGCCCTATGGCTCCCCCCCCATGCATTGTCCTCAGGCCATGCCCGCTGGATACCCCCAGTCGTGCCCCCCCAGAGGTCCCTGGGCCGTGCCCCCTACCGGCCGTGCCCGCGAACTGGCTGGTGGCGTAGTGGCGGAAGAACCCGCCCTCCATGCCGCGCAGCAGGGCCTGGGCCCGTGCCCGCAGGCGGCTGTCGCGGATCTGCCGGGGCACCAGGCCGGTGCGGAGCGATTCCAGGGTGCTGCGGATCTGCCGGTCGCACTGCAGGCAGCCCCCGGCGCCCGCCGCCAGCCAGGCCCCCAGCACGAGGGGAGCCAGGAGCGCCATGGTGCAGCCCGGCATGACAAGTTCTGCCCGTTCTCAGCCCTGCTGCGCGCCAGGCACCAGGGAGAATCCTCGGGGCGAGAATGACATCACAATGCAGTGTGGGATTGTGGGTATGGTGTGGGCAGAGGGGGTTGCAGGTACGGTGTGGGCGGAGGGGTGTGTGGGTACAGAGTCGCGCCGGGCGCTGCCCAGACACAGAGTCGCCGAGATCGGGGCCCCGTCAGGCCGGGCACTGCCCAGACACAGAGTTGCCGAGATCGGGGCCCCGTCAGGCCGGGCACTGCCCAGACACAGAGTCGCCGAGATCGGGGCCCCGTCAGGCTGGGCGCTGCCCAGACACGGAGTCGCCGAGATTGGGGCCCCGTCGCACCGGGCGCTGCGCAGACATGGAGTCGCTGAGATCGGGGCCCCGTTGGGCCGGGTGCTGCTCCAGGCAGACAGAGCAAGAGAGATTCCCCGTCCCAACGCTCACCCAGTCTAACCGGACAACGGGTGGGAGGGGACGTATAACGTAGCCCCAGCTTTGCCGTGGCCCCCCTGAGCCTGGCAGCAGGGCGTGTCCCCTCTTGGTGGCATGGGAAGACCCCATCTCCTGATGCTGCTTGGTGGCCGGGTTGGGGGTCGCGTGTGGGTGACCGCAGGGGGCTGTGGTGGGGGTGGCACAGAGTGGCTGGGCAGGGAGTGTGGGGGTTGCCAGGCCGGCTCCTCCTGCCAGCCAAAGCCACTGAATTCCCAGGCTTGGTGCTGGGCTCCCGCGGCCCGGCAGCTGGGGCTGTGTCATTGCAGGCTGGGTCCGGGTCCGTGGCAGGCGCAGGAGCCACCCCAGCCTGGCAGCAGCCAGTTCCAGCCCCTGGGCGGCTCAAGCCACAAGAGCTCAGGGCAACCTAGAGCCGCTGGGCGGGGCAGCGGGGTGAGCGGGCCGGCCCGGGGGGCTGGGGGTGTGTGTGTGAGCGAGTCGGCCTGGGGGGCTGGGCAGTGGGGGGTGAGCGAGTCGGCCTGGGGGGCTGGGTGTGGGGG